TCTCTCTCTCTCTCTCTCTCTCTCTCTCTCTCTCTCTCTCTCTCTCTCTCTCTCTCTCTCTCTCTCTCTCTCTCTCTCTCTCTCTCTCTCTCTCTTCCCCACCCTGGCAAACTCAAACTCGATCCATCTCAACATATAGAAAATGACAGGCCTCCTGTCTGTAATTGAGCACATGGTGCTTACAGGCCAGCCCGCATAAGGTGCCCTTGCCGCCAAAGACAACCAGTGTGCCAACGTGCACACTCACAAAATGCACGCACTAGAGACTCATATCATCAATATACAGAGCAGACTGGCAAAAATATACGAGTGTGAGAAAGAGTACCCAAAAAATGCCTATCCTCTGGTCCAAGAGCAGCACACTCCTCTCGGTTTGGATAGCAATGCCTCAGACACAAGGAGACAGAGAGGGAGAGGGGGAGAAAGAGCGAGTGAGTGAGAGTGAGAGAGAGAGAACAGAGGGGAGGGATGGGGGGCTGGAGGGTAAGATATGTTTACCTGTGGCCAGGTATTGGACAAGGAGGTACCGGAGCTTCCTTTCCAATATTGATCACAATATCTTCAGGATAGATTCGCTTCTTGAGCTTCCCCATCTGCAGACCAAAAATTGACACCAGTACTTATATGAGCCCCACCCCCAAAGAAAGGGGGAGGGAGAAGGTCACAAACGAATGCTCCATTGCTTGAATCCATTTCACAAGAGGCACTAGCTCCACTGGGAGCCCATGGAGGTGCATCTCCTGCTTTAGGGAGGAGGGAGGAAGGAGGAGGGACGACAGACGAGAGACGAGGGACGAGGGACGAGGGAAGAGGGAAGAGGGAGGACGAGGGACGAGGGACGACTGAGGACGGAGGACAGAGGAGTTTGATCGGATTGCTTCAGGAGAGGAACTAGCCCCACTTGGAGCCCAGGCAAATGCAACTGCCACTTCAGGGAGGAAGGAGGAGGGAGGTTGAAGAGAGGAGGGGACATAGGTGTAAGAGGGATGATGTTTTGAGGAGTATTATGGGTACAATCTTTCTGCGATGAAGCAGGAGAGGGACCCAATATTTGCTTCGGTAAGGGGGTTCTCGCGGAGGTTACATTTCAGGTTGAGGTTGAGGTTGAGGTTTTGTCATTCGATTTCGCTCCCGCCTACCTTTGGATGTTCTCCTCTGCCACGGAAAAGTCCTGGCGGTTCCACTCTGAAGTTACCGACCTGAAAAACATCAGGGGTGCACAATCAAGAGAAACAGTCTCAGTGCCAAGAACATCACACACAGGCGTACGAACCAGAAAACATGACCGTAACTACCACGGAAAAGTCCCGGCGGTTCCACTCTGAAAGCTCAAGGAGTTTGAAGAGGGGAATAAAGACATTAAAAATGCCAAAGGGACAGTTCAGTGCCGAGAACCGATGCAGAAGATTCGAGCACATAGGGACCGGAATTTCACATGTGCACATGCGCTCGCACACACAGACCACACACACACACACACACGAGCGTACGCGCACACGCACATGAGCATGCACTCATGCCACAGTATTGCAACACACACACACACACGAGACAGTCTTGCTAGCTCTCTGCGGGGGTAGATTGAACGACTAGGATCAAGCTAGGACCTGCAGGCAATCCTGATGTGGGTTTTTGGGATGGTATTGCTACATGCACACGCACACACACACACACACACACACACACACACACACACACACACACACACATGAGACAGTCTTGCTAGCTCTCTGCGGGGGTAGATTGTTCGTTTTNCACACACACACACACACACACACACACACACACACACACACACACACACACACACATCTAGTTTACGCTTATCAGGGTGGGGTGTTGTTAGAGACTTTTGGTTCTGACATCCGGCATGCATCGATACTTGGGAGTCTTGCTCTCTTTCAAGTGGATGTGAGTTTATGTTCAGCCGCAAGATACCCACAGGCGTCATCCGTCCAGCATTCACTGCTGCAAGCCCAGCTCGGCTACCGTCTTCACCTGAATACCCGGTCATTATAGCCGTATTTGGTGCAACTGGTTCGGCCGTAGTCCCCTTTTTATACAGCGATAACGACCAGGCGTTTTATTCCGATGAAGACCGTAGCACATGGTGCAGTTACAGTGTGTACACGACACACTCTTCCCTATCACATGGAATAACATATGCCTTTTGTTATTATCCGTCCTGCAAGTACACAACCCCAGCTGTACGGATAACGGCCAGCCCCGCTACCGTCTTCACCCAAATAGAACGCCGGGTAATTATCGCCATATCTGGGCTGAAAGTTGTGCCAAATACAGCTATAGTGACCGGGCGCTCTATTCGGGTGAAGACAATAACATAAAATACCAAGTGGAATAACATGTGCTCATTGCCCAAGTGTTCTGTGCAGCTTCTTTTCTTCTGCTTGTTTTTCTGTGTTTTGTCATGTTTGCTATACACAACTACCCGGATAGTCCACTTGATACCTCTGATCTGTATGAGCAGGGTCTTTGTCCATCACGGGTGTGACTGTGAGCACGAGTGGGTTGTATGTGGTGTGTGGGAGAGTGTTGGCCTTAGACACTGCTGCTACTCGAGGGGGAGAGGGGAGGGGGGAGGGGAACGATGAAAAGGAAGGCACAGTTACTGGCAAAATCCTTGGTCTTTACATTAGCCGGACCCCCACTGGCAGCCCCAACCCTGCACCCTTAACCACTAGGGCAAGGGGCAACATGCAATATCCCCTTCATGGTGAGACGTAGCTATGCTTGCAGGGGTCCCCTCCATATAGCCTTAGGAATAATGGTAGGTAGTGAAAGGCGAAAGAATTTGACAGAATATAGTGTAGTTTTGATAAGAATAAAAAAAAAAAGAAAAAAAAAAAACAAGCACGACTCTGCCAAAGATTATTTAGTCCAACTTTCACCAACTCGTCAGGTCCTTACTCTCTTTTCTTTTCTTTTCCTTTTTCTTTTTTGAAGAGGAAAGTAGTGCTGCCTCTTCTGTGTGATGATGGCGATGATGTGTGAGTGTGTGTACAGTGTATTTCATTCCTCTTCCCAAGTAATTTTTTTCACATACACAGAAGAGGCAGCACTACTTTCCTCTTCAAAAAAGAAAAAAGAAAAGAAAAGAAAAGAGAGTAAGGATCGGTGCCACTGATCTGCTTAGCGATGGACGTACACAATCTGTGGGGGTCTGTACGTGGACTGCCGGCAGTCCACGTACAGAACCCCATTGAGTTCAGTTTTGCATGCTGGTGTATCATGGCATTGCTTCCCACAGGCCACGTACAGACCCCCACAACGCTCATGGTTCATTTCCCATTTCCCTTTTTTCTTTACATTCTCTTATTCGCCGGTTTTGCTTCCGTTGGTCTAGGGCAACTTTCATCTTTTTCTTTTTTTCCCCCAAAGCTAAGCCATATTCTTCTCTCAATTTCACCTTTCCCTATCTACCTACCACTACTCCTAAACTTATACAGGGAACCCCTGCAAACATTAGATCGATTAAGTGGCAAGAGAGAGAGAAAGAGAGAGAGAGAGAGAGCCTCCTAAGGGGAGTAACCAATGCCAAGACCGTTAGGAAATAGAACTCAGGCATCCAGTTGCTTGGTATTCCATCTGGCCACGCAGAGAACGAGTTGGAGATCAACTCAGAAAGAGAGAGAGAGGGAGAGAGAGAGGGAGAGGGAGAGGGAGAGGGAGAGAGAAATGCAATTACTTTCTTCCTAGTTACAACCAATCTGGGTAAGGTCTCCCTTAGCATGTGAAAGAGAGAGAGAGAGACAGAGAGAGACAGAGACAGAGAGAGAGAGAGAGAGAGCTGTGAAGGAGAGAAAGATAGTGAGAGAGAGGGAGAGAAATTCGATTAGTTTTTTCCAAGTTACAATCAACTGTGGTAAGGTATCCTTTAACATTCCAGAGGCAGACAGCAGGATAGAGAGAGAGAGAGAGAGAGAGAAAGAGAGAGAGAGATATGCCCAAATTAGGGGGGAGGGGGAGGGGAATCAAGAATAATGGGGAAAAAAATAAAAAAAATTATGTTTGCTAGATTCTCATCCTGAATTTCAAGAAGGAACTTTGAACCCAACTTCCAGCAGGAGCTGCTGCTCACCAATATATTGAGAGAACTTCAGGAGAAATTCAGAGAAATTGAGAGAAACTGAGAGAGGTTGAGAGAAATTGAGAGAAATTGAGAGAAATTGAGAGAAATTGAGAGAACTTGAGAGGAAAAGAAAAAATGCAGCAAAAAGGTAGGAATGGTAGCTCAACAGATTCTGTCAAAACACAAAAATGAAAGAGATTGACAGCACGGCAAAAAAAGTCAAAAGAAAAAAGAAGGAACAACATATATACAATACAATATTTACCTTTTCTCTTACACCATCCACAACCGCCCACATATATTTGTCTTCCAAAGCCGTCTTCTCCTCCTTTAACTTCTTTTTCTCCTGAAGAGGCGACCGCATAAATACCCCTGCCAATGGTGTTAGAAACCTACCACAGGCTACCGGTAAATCCACACCAGCAAAGAAAGAGACTCTCTCTCTCTCTCTCTCTCTCTCTCTCTCTCTCTCTCTCTCTCTCTCTCTCTCTCTCTCTCTCT